CACTCCAGGTTTTCTTTCATTCATTAAACTAAAACAGCCACTCACTGGAAATGTAAGATTAAATTATCAAATATTTGCAAGGGTCTCTAATCATAAGCATTTGCAGAAAGCCTCACCTTTTGTAAATAAAAAAGTATATACTGTATATCCTTAAATAAAAAAGTGTCTATATCCTTAAATAAAAAAGTGTCTATATCTTTAAATAAAGGTTTGGCGTGTACACTCACTAATCATCATAAAAATATATATATATATATAAATTTTAAAAATAGGCATGCTCACAAGTATTTTATAAGGCAGCTTTGGCAAAATAGCTACGTTGTAGCAAAAATTGAAATCCAAGTTATTGGTACTTTCATATTACTTGAGTTTGTAATCTTTAAAATTAGGGCTCACTCATTGAAATTGGACTTCAAGCCTTATTGTAGTTATTGAGAAGTTAGGCACCAGCACTCTTAGTCAAGATAAACATAGTTTAAGTAATCAACTTCCAATGTGTACGCATACATTAATTGTTTAATGGAATTAAAGACCAAAAATAAAATTAAATAAATGGTTTGTTGACCGTTTCCAGAGCTAAGACTTTGGGACATGATTCAGTTATATTAGACTGCTGATTTATAGTGAAAACATTTAAAAAAAAATTATTGTTAGACCATTGTTTGAGCTCTCATATATTCCAACTTATTTACTCAATACTGGCCTGTGCGACAAATTGCCCATCTGCCATGACATGCTTCATATTTTAAAGCTCACAGTATATGGTAATTATTTGCAATTAGATTTATATAGCTCTTTATACCAAAGTCCCAAAGCGCTCGAGATGTGGACTAGCTCGCACAGTAACTCGCTTTTCCCCTAAAGGGTTTCTTTACGTCTGAGTTATCCAGTAAACCGGTACCAGCTTCTCTGGTCTATCCACAACAGGGGCTGTATGGAACAGTACACAAGGGTAACCTCCTTTCTCATCTCGAAAGATGTAGTGAATTCTTTAGATAAAACGCACATGAGACAAATTGTGTACACTGGGCCTACAGTTTAAAGTCCTTATCTAAGAATGACTTGTTCCACCACCAGAACCATACGCGAGCGTGCCATTCGAGCCACCGCCAATATTATGGATGTAGGTTGCGGCGCCCATGCATTAACCGCTTGGCCATGCGACTTGCCGGCAAAGTAAATTTTAAAGAAACGGTTATCACCTGATTCATAAGAAATTCTGATGATTTCAACAGTATTCCTCTGAATTCACTTCGTTCCTGGATGGTTTTTACGACTGTGGAGTGTATAGCATTTGCAGATGGTGAAGAGTGTTGAGCACCTAAGCAAATTTCTGTTGATTTCATTTTGAGAAACTGTACAATTCTCTTGAATAGGTCATCTTCAGACATATTGAGCATATAATGCTTTTTTTTTTTTTTTTGCTAAAAAAAAAAAAAAATAAATAAAATAATGACAGATGTTAAGCAAATTGATATTTATTTTATTCATTTTGGCAAGAAAATACAAAAATATATTACACAAAAATTTTACCAAATACAGCAAAATTTAAACCCCCCCCCCAAAAAAAACCAAAAACATGGCAATATATTACAACGAAACTCAAATCAGTGTCAAGGAATAGCAAAAGCGGCAGTAACCATTCTCACCCAAACAAAAAGGATGTGCTATTCCATACAAAAATAAAAATGAATATTATAAATTTAAAAAAATATATATATAATATTGCCAAGACTGTAAACAATAACAACGTGTTAGCTTTCGTGGGAGAAAGGATTGTATATCTCACACAGACCCTATACACTGGGTCTGACTCTAGGTATAGTAGTATAGCTAATTTTAGGCCCTACACGCCTCCTAGCCTAGGCTAGCTGGTGTGGTAGGTAGGTCTACCTAGAGGCTAGGCAGGCTTAGTCTAAGTTAGTTAGGTAAGCTAGGGATGGTCTCTAAATGTATTAATATATGTAACAGTACATTTATGACAAGAAGTAAGTAATAGGCCAAGGAAACCTGACAAGACCTAGGCTAGGCCTATACTGATCGTCCATCCACAACACCAACCATGATGGATCGTGTAGACTCCACTGCCACCTTGAAAGGTATGCTCGCTGCCGCTAGGCGCGCTAGACTCCAACTATGAACAAGACCGCCCTCTACCCGGTAGCTCGTGGATTGATGAGTGACCCCCCGGCAGCTGAATGAATCCTCCTTTGTGAAGAACGAGCACACAGCGGAAGACAAGGAAAGGCTGTGAATCATTGTGTTTATTCACTTATTTTTCTTTTAGGATTGGTGCCTCATATCAATGACGGTAAGTAGTGTGTTTATTATATATTTCTATTCCCGTTTTAATAGTATTATTTATAGTTCTCTTATTATTTGGCGTGTTTGAATGTTATGGAAATCTCGGCGTCCATTGTTGTCTGACCCTTTTCCTCTTCTTGCCAAGCAAGATTCTTCGCCTAGCCTCTGCTGGGCCTTGCTACTGTAGAGTGCACGACAAAGATCGGACGTAACCTAGCTAGGCCTAGGCCGGTTAATTCATACCAATCATTTCTTGGTTTTCTGCAGAACAAAATGAATATTTAACCTCTTCTTTTTCCGATATAAAATCATATTTCTCTTGATTTGTGTAACTTTGTTTCATTTTTTTTTTTTATTATTCGGCTGTGCGTTTATTAATAATATTATTATATATTGTCGAAATGGATATGTAGGTAGGCCTATGCACTCAAATAAATTCCCCTTAATATCACTCTAAATATGGAACTACAAGACATAACTACCGTGAATACATGTTCCAAACTAGGCATAGGCATAACCTAATCATAATATATAACCAGTGTGTTATGCAGTAGTTATGTTTCTAGTGGGTGTTTATTCAAGGAAAAAATAAATATCTGGTGTGTTTATTCAAATTTGTGTTGGTTTTCGAGATATCCTCTGAGCAAATAAACTACTGTACTTTAAATTGGCCCCCCCCCCTTTCCAACTTTAAAATAACGCCTGCGCAGGAATACGCCTTTTTCACGAATCGGTAGACATCTTGAAGTGATGACAAACATTGCGAATCAGCGGTGCGTAACCAACAGAAATAAGATAAGCTTTTAGGCTGATTTTCGAGACAGCCGTTATAGAGTTATGATTTTTTAAATAACATGATGTCAAAAAATCCGCCCGAAAGCTTATCTTATTTCTGTTGGTTACGCACCGCTGATTCGCACTGTTTGTCATCACTTCAAGATGTCTACCGATTCGTGAAAAAGGCGTATATATATATAGGCCTGTGCATTAATTATCACAACAAATCATTTTATTGTGATATATGTATTTCAATACTTGGAGTATGTATTATACTTTCATTTTATTGTCTACTCCAAGGAGTGAGGGATAGGTCACTGAAGAGCATTATCAAAGATATTTCATGTGGTATCCCATCATTGTCAAACTTTTGTTGGTTGATTCTCCTAGAATTTATTGAAATGTGTATACAGGTTGTTGACATAACATCTAAATCTAATAAATTGCAATTGGAAATTTGTTTTCCTTTTCCAGACTGAACTGTAAAATATGTCTGAGGAAATGATGCCAGGGCAAAGCCCTATGCAAGGGCCAAGCCCCGGTCCGATGCCTAGCCCTGCAGGTTCCATGCAAGGAATGGCACAGCTACCTTCACCGATGCATAACCAGATGCCTGCCTCACAAGATTCAATGAGCTCGCAGGGAAATATGCCGGGACAAGGCCCGATGGGAAGTGCAGGGTCCATGTCAGGACAGAGTGCCATGTCTGGTCAGGGGCCAATTCAGAGTCAAGGTGGGCCAATTCAAAACCAAGGGGGAGTTCAAGGCTCAATGCAAAGTCCAATGCATGGTCCAAACCCAATGCAAAATATTGGAGGTGGCCCAATGACAAGCCAAATGCCTGGACAGATGCCTGGACCAGGGCAAGGGGGACCAATTTCAGGACAAGGTGGACCCATGCCTGGTTCTAGTGGGCCAATGCAGGGGCCAGGAGGACCAATGCATGGACCTAGTGGTCCAATGCAAGGACCAGGTGGTCCAATGCAAGGACCTGGTGGTCCATTGCAAGGACCTGGTGGCCCAATGCAAGGACCTGGTGGTCCAATGCAAGGACCTGGTGGTCCAATGCAAGGACCTGGTGGCCCAATGCAAGGACCTGTTGGTCCAATGCAAGGACCTGGTGGCCCAATGCAAGGACCTGGTGGTTCAATGCAAGGACATGGTGGTCCTATGCAAGGACCTGGTGTACCAATGCAGGGCTCTAATGGTGGCCCCATGCAAGGTCCTATGGGTCCTATGCAGGGCCCTGGTGGGCCGATGCAGGGGCCAGGTGGGCCGATGCAGGGTCCAGGTGGGCCGATGCAGGGTCCAGGTGGGCCGATGCAGGGTCCAGTTGGGCCGATGCAGGGTCCAGGTGGCCCAATGCAGGGTCCTGGTGGATCGATGCAAGGTCCCGGTGGGCCGATGCAAGGTCCCGTTGGGCCAATGCAAGGTCCCGGTGGAACGATGCAAGGGCCTGGTGGCCCAATGCAGGGTCCAAGTGGTCCTATGCAGGGACCAAGTGGTCCTATGCCAGGTCAAGGTGGGCCGATGCAAGGACCTATGGGGGCCATGCAAGGACCAATGACGAGCCCAGGTAGTGGAATGCCACCAGGAAGACAAATGGGCATGCCAGGTATGATGCCACCCCCTAGTGGTCAACATCAAGGACCACCATATGGACAAGGACCTATTCAATTCAACCAAGGAAACTACAGTAAATTACAAAGGGTAAGTCTGAGTTTCTTAGATTGTTATCTATACTGGTAAATAAATAATAAAGACATTAAAGTTATATCATTGAATAGAGAATCCTAGATTCTAAAGTCCTGTCTGGCAGATAATCAAATTGTCTTCGACAAAAAACTGTTTTATGCCCATATACATGATGTGCCTATATATATGGTCATGATGTGATGTCATCATGACCATATTTTGGCATGTCACATGTTTTTGTCAAATGAAAGTAGATAGTCTGTAGAGTCTTGGATGGCTTGATTTTGTTTATTTATTCATTCTGAAAGTAATCAATAGTAAAAACATTTAAGGATAAAAGCACAGGAAAGTACAAAATGCAACTTATTTCAACTGTGGTCTCAAAATGAGAATACTGGTACTAAAATTACAGAATAGTAATAGAACAATCAAAATGGAAACATTACAATAAATACATTTAAAATACTACAAAGACAAATTCAATTTTCAGAAAATTAACATCATCAAAATTAAGCAATATGATGAAGTTCAGATACTGTATATATGGTTCTCCTTTTTAGCCGTAGTTTGAAAAAAAATATTGATTTTGGGTATAATTGTTTGTGGTTTTGTTTTTGCCTTTTAGGCTCTAGAGTCAATGAAGGAACATGGGATGCAGGATGATCGACGTTACAGTCAGTTAATGGCTCTGGCCAATAGGAGTAAGCCACAACATCAAGGTAAGTGGTTATAAAAATGTCAAAAGTCTATTTACTATTACAAATTTTTACCATATTATAAGTCCATGCTGAGTGTGAGCATGCTATTGATGGTAATTTTTGTTTCGAGTATGAGCCCAGGGCAATGGATTTTTTCGCTAAAGGCAAGACTTTTTTATACCTTGTTTAACGAACCAGCCGCCCGCCGAAAATGATGATTTAAAATAAAAATAAAATTTCATTTTTGGCTAATTAGCGCACCCACCATGAAATAATGGAAATTTCAGAAAAAATGAAAGTTTTCTTTATTATTATTACATGCGCCGCTGCCTTGAAATCTCCAAAAATAAGACATGTATATTACTTCCTAATTATGTAAATTTAAAGCATTTAAATTTTAACCATTTAATTACTACATGGTTTACATTCACTAATAACATTTTAGTTTTATTTTCTCCTCCATCTGGATGATTTTGGCAAAACAATTTGCTAAATAAAAAAACAAAATTTAATTTTTATATTTTTGCCCGCCCTCCTCTGACGATCTTTAAAAAAAATAAGTTCATGAAACAAGGTGTAAAAAAAGTCGTGTCTAACACTGCGCTTTTGATATTTTTTCCAAGGTCCCACGAAACGAATGTGTAAAAGTATACATACGCACATGCGTTTGTGGGACAAAACTTCCTAGCTGTTTTCTAAATCACAAAGAATGAATTTTATTATCACTGCATCAGATTAACAAAATTTTGTAATATCCTCAACGACCAAAATATTTATGTATACTGTACTTAAAATTCTGTGCATGAAGTATTGTACAATTTTCTTTTCTTTGCATTTATTATTATTTGTTTTGTTTCCATTAGACTGCAACTGGTGGGTCGACTATTAAATGAGATTCAACACACAGTTAAACAATAATTGTTTATGCACGTTACATTAGGTTACACCCGTAGTTAATAGGGAGGAATCAAGTCAATTAATAAACAGGCCTCCCCCCCCCCCCCCAATTATAGAGCTTTTGGGGTCAGGTTTTCTGTGTTCTTTTGCAGCTCAGATACTCTAAGGCAAAACAATTTAACTTAACGAAAATGTAATAGCAGTTACGTTGTTTTGCCATGGAACGGTCAATCTTTGGTCTTTTTTATTAGAATAATAAAGATAAGGCATTTGTTAACATTAAGGCCATAGAAAATTGGTATTTATTTAAAAGAAGGGGTGTTTAGTTAGAGAGAAACCTGTACTTAGTTATTACAATGTTATATCCTTTGCCAGGATATGGTGGACCAGCAGATGGTATGGGGGATAGTCCAATGTCCGGTCATCAGCAGCAACCCCCACCGTCAAGACAATCATTCCTTCCTCAGCAGCTACAACAGCTCAAAGCACAGATACTGGCTTACAAATACTTAGCCCGGAATCAGCCGATGCCCGATTCGTTGAGATCAGCAGTGCAGGGGAAACACCCGATGCAAAGCCTTCAAAGACCGTCCCCAGGTAAAGTAGGCCTATATTTTGATTTGACTTGTTCTTTTTCTATGTATTTGTCTTCAGGTTTGTTGCTCTAGGTAATTGTAATAGTATGGTAAATTTATTGCTCTCTTTGAAATTGCTGCAGTCCAGGTCAAAGGATGACCTTGAAAATATGTGGGGAACAGAGTGTTGCTATGGAATAAAAACAATTCTTTTTGGCAATTTCGATTAGTTGATTTTTGCCTGTGGTGCATGGGTAAGCATAGTGGACTAATACTGGACCTGAGCATTCAGTCCCTTGTCTGTTGCTTTGGATTAAAGTAAAATAGAACGTGGGCAACTAAGAGCTAGCAATTTTTCAAGTGCTTTCGATCACAAGGTACACTATACCTCTAATCCTGCTACTTAGAGTGGCTGGCATTGTCGAAGGTTGGAAGGGTAACTTCAGTTTAGGTTAAAACAACTCTAGAATGTCCAACATACAGGACTTAAATTATGAAGGCTTCACAAACTACATGTAAAATATAAAGGTCATAGAGGACTATAGAGAAAAGTGTTATTTAAACATCTACTGTTGTGCAAGATTTTTAGAATAAATGTAACTCTTCGATAAGACAAGTACAATATTACTCACTAATAAAAACAATAATTCGATTTTCATAATTTGTTTTTACAGGGATGGTAGGACCCCCTCAACCGCCACAGCCACCACCAGTGAGTTCAAGCCAGAGCAGTGCGAGGACGCCTACTCCACCAGCATCACAGGTTCCTCACTGGATGCCAAAGGGTCCACCACCGCCAAGACAGCAGTCTTCCCCAGCACCGAAGGCCGGCCCACCTACAACTCAACCCAGCCCAGCACCAAAAACTCCACAAGCTGGACAGAAACCCGAGCCGAAGCCTCAGAATTTGACCACGGTGATGCTGATGCAGCCGAAACAGAATCGACTAGTGCCGGTGGCGAAACCTCAGGGAATAGATCCGCTTACTATACTACATGAACGGGAAAACAGGTAACAACTAAGAATTTTAATTTAGTATCTAGTAAAGGTCCGTTGTTTATATTGCCTTTTTTGAATTCTCATTATTTTCACGTCTGGTAGAGCAAAACATCATTCCTATTAAATCTGCAGATTTAAACACTGTCGTAAATGCATTATTGGTTAAACATATTTTTGTTCTTGTAGAATCTCTTCTCGTATTGCTTATCGTCTCCAACAACTCCAGAATTTGCCTGGCTCTTTGCCAGATGACCTCAAACTCAAGGCTACTATTGAAATGAAAGCTCTCCGATTACTCAACTTCCAACGACAGGTAATTAACAACTCAATTGTTGTAGGCTCTATTAAATCTATATGTATAAGTATATATAAAGATAATTATATTTTTATACAAATTTAATGAGCAAATTAGTTTTTCCATTGTAGATGAATGAAAGTTTTCTTATCTTGGGTGAGGAGCCAATTCAGGCATCTTGTGAGGAGTTTGGCACAGTGGTATGGGTTTGCCATATCTTTAACAATTAAAATTAAAACTCGTAACTAGGCTGTATTGAATTACATTCTGTTAATTCGCTGTTCTATATAGTTACGCCAAGAGGTGTCATCTTGCATGAGGCGGGACACAACATTAGAGACGGCATTGAATTCTAAAGTTTATAAGCGAACTAAACGCCAAACACTACGTGAAGCCAGGCTGACGGAGAAACTTGAAAAACAACAGAAAATGGAATTGGAACGCAAAAAGAGACAAAAGCATCAGGTAATAAAACTACAGGTTTTTCTTGATTAGTTTATGTATATCTTAGTTTCCAAATAATCGCTACGCGCTATCGCTGACAGCTTTCAGGAATGCTGATTGGTTGGTTTAATCAGGGAGCCTTTCCGATTGCGTCATGGACTGCTACATCTGCTACGCAGTACAACAATTGCACTGAAAAAACTGTATCAACAGTGTAGTGATTTTATAAAATCCAAGCTTAATCTGTTTTATTTTAATTACACTTAAATATGTCCTGGTTATAAAGTCGAATCCAAAATGGCATTGAAAAATTGTTCGACTTCGATTAAATTTGAGTTAGGCTAGTATAACTGTATTTATTTGTTTATATGCAGCATATTGTTTTTGTAAACAATCATAACATGATTAGGGCTTATTGTTTGAAGGTTTGCTTGGTAAAGTAATAATATATTTAATTGAATGCTTGTGGTACACCATGTAGATGGTTCTGAAAAGAACTGTTGTTACGTTGAGAATATCTCGACGTTTGCATTGAGTTGCTTCTGTCGTCATCAGGAGATTAGTATTAAGGCAGCCGGTATATAGTAAGGATTTTATAATAATTATGTTAAACATGGTAAAAAGAATGGTTACCCTCCTTCTCCCCCCAGTTTTTGGGGAAAAAAAAATTAAAGTTTATTTTAATAACATTTTTTTTAGGAATATCTGAGTAGTATATTACAGCATGCTAAAGATTTCCGTGAATTCCATCGCGGTGTTCAGAGTAAAATCAGTAAGATTACCAAAGCCATCTCCACGTACCATGCGAACACAGAACGTGAACAGAAGAAGGAAACAGAGAGGATGGAGAAAGAAAGAATGCGCAGACTTATGGTATGTTGTATATTATTTACTATCCTCAATTTATGAAATTGCAGTTTGCCGATTTTTATATATATATTGGTACTGTATTACATAATCAGTTATTTTTAATTGACACAGATTGACCGACTGTGTACTATAATAACCCTTTTAAATTGATTGTCAGCCAATTGAAAATACTATACTAAGATTATAGAAAATGAGAGTATTTATGCTTAGCTGCCTGGGCTCCAATCTTGGCTGTTTTTTTTTCTTTCACTCACTTTATTTATGGTTTTTATTCAAAATTCAATTGTGAAAATACAAACATTTGAAAAAACATGAAACATTGCATTGCATAAGAATTTAAAAATTGCCAAATAATAAATTATAGAGAATGTTCTCTAAATTACAAATTATTTATAAGCAAAGTTCACCAAAAAAAATGACAGAAACCCATGGTGAATGATTATGTCTGACTTATTCAAATAAACATTTTCTTATGACTTAACTATTTCATTTAAAATAACATTTAATTCTCTTATATCAAAAATGTGTGTTTAAAAAATTATATACTTTTCTTGAAAGCGTTCTCAATTGTCTAAGTATATTTTATATCACTAAATTTTCTTATTGTTTATTTCATGTCATGAGACTTCCATTCAGCCAGCATTCCCAGGCTTCTATACATTTGTTAAATAATTGTTGATTATACATTGTTTATTCACAATAACAAGTGGTATACTTAATGTAATACGCACCTCATTTTTAATTACCTCGTTTTTAATTGGCTAGTTATAACTTTGATTTTAATCTGATTGGTCGGTTTTTATTTGCTTTCTGTTCTGTAAATATTGTAAACATATATGGATGGGTTAGATTTTCTCATCAGTTTTCTTGAAAATGATCAAAATAGATCAAAACGTTGAATCTCAAAATGTCTCTGTCTCTTTTCAGACTTACTGTCTTTTTGTTTAAAAAAAATGATTGTATAATTAAATGTTTTGTGTATTGTAGGCTGAAGATGAAGAGGGCTACAGAAAACTTATTGATGAGAAGAAGGACAAACGTCTACATTTCTTGCTCAGTCAGACGGATCAGTACATCGCTAACCTCACTGATCTGGTTCGACAACATCAGGAGACAATGAAGAAGAAAAAGAAATCCAAGAAAAAGAAGAGGAGGAGGCCAGACCCCTCTATGGATGGGGTAGGTGCAACGTCTTCTGTCATTGGCAGTTTTCCAGGGACGGATTTAAGGGGCCCCACCCCTTTTGGAAATTAAAAAAAAAAAATGACAAAAACAAAGAATGAAAAAGAAATAATTGTTATTTTCATGCATCTATAAAACAAGAAAATTGCGGGGGAACGCCCCTGAACCCCCTAGGGTAGTGTTTTCTCAATTGACCCCATTTTTGGTGCCCCCCTTTTGAACATCTGGATCCGCACCTGCATTCTACTATATCCAGGAATTCATATCAGAAATCTATTTTTATACATAATATAAAAATGTTTCCAGTCTTGTCTCTAAAACCGAATAATTAGTGCTTTGTATTCATGCAATGGAAAGGATATCTTCATTCGTTGAATGAATGACTGACTGACTGTCCCATTCAGCTCATGAAAATATTCTTCCCATTGCACTTACATACATTCATTATTTGTATAATAATACCCGATTCACATAAGAGTGCTACATTTTAAGCTATTTAAAAATTATTTGTTTTGTCACCTTTTTTTTTTTCACTTAGCTTGATGATGAAAACAGCCAGAGCAGTGATTTGATCGTCAAAGTTATTGAAACAGCCACCGGTAAGCTAATCAGTGGCCCTGACGCTCCACGGGCCAGTCAACTTGATGCCTGGCTTGAAATGCATCCCGGATACGAGGTCGCTCCCCGTGATGATGATTCGACCTACGATAGCTCGGAGGAGGTGAGTCAACATGAGTCAGAATTTAAAAGATATATATTTTATATTTAAATATATATTGTGTATATTATTATAATTATTATTATTATTATTATTATTATTATTATTATTATTATTATTATTATATTATTAATATTATTATTATTATTATTATTATTATTATTATTGTGTATATTAAATGTATATTGTGATCAACCTCCTAGTCCACATATCCAGGCGCTTTATATCCATTGGCAAAAAGCGTTATATAAATTTCTTTATTTTGATTTTTAGGTATTTTATTATAGTGACAAATTTGTAGTAAATAATAAATAATGTATTTGTTAGCAAATATTTGTATTTTTTCTACAAGAAAAAGCAAACAAATTAAAAAAAAACGTGAGTGAATTTATCTTTATTTTTTGCCAGATGCCCTACAACTTAGTCTGAAGTTGTTGTCTGATGTAAGATATTGCCATTCTAGGCCTCTGTGGGTTATTTTTATTCCATTTGATGAGTATTTAAAAAAAAAAATAAATTAATTAAAAAAAATCTTTTTCCACCCGTCCCTATTTATCATTTTTAAAAAAAGGAGGGTAAACAAACAATTTATTTTATTTAGCCTACCATTCAGCAGGGACCAAATAGCCAAATCTATTGATGAACTTGTAGGACAATTCGGAAAGCTCGGAGAGGACTCTTACATACTCGTAGCAGCTTTGAACTCGTGGCGCTAATTTCGAACATGTTCAAAATTACCGCCACGAGTAGATAACTCATAGTAAGCTTGAAAAACTCGTAGGTAGCTCGTAGAGTACTCGGTGTACTCCTACCTAGCTCGTACACTACTCTGGATACTCGTCGGCGGTTTTGTCATCTACGAGTTTGATGCGAGCACCCCGAAACGAGTACGAGTAAGTACGAGCGCACCGAGTTGGCTCGTACCTAACTCGTATCTAATTCGGTACAAACTTGTTACTCTCTTAATAATCTCATAGTTAACTTGGTGTTCTGCTCGGCATAATTCGTACATAACTTGTAACCAATTCCATAAAATCGTACCTCACTCGTAGCTAACACGTAATAAGTTTTAAATCGTAGAAATCGTATGACTCTTAGGTGAAATAAACCTAGGTGGGAGAGGGGCTTTACTAATGCCAAAGTTATGAGTAAAAGTATTACAGCTTCTCTGTACTAAAGTATGCAATACTACCACATTCTTATGCTTATTACTCAGTTTAATATTTGGTGATAATATGCTGGTTTTGTGATGGCGAGCCTCATTAATATTGTTATAAAAATAATTATTTTTATTCTTAATATTATACCTTGATTTACAAATAAATTAAATATGGGAATATTTTTACAGGAAGAGGATGAGGAGGATGCCGAAGAAGAGGAAGAGGACACAGAAAAAGAACAAGAACCCAATGAGGTGGAAGAATACCATGGCGAAGAGCAGTAAGTGACTTGTACTGTAATTTATATGGCCTAGTTCAGACTAGGGGGATTAACTCGGCTCAACTCACCGGGTTTATCCACTTGTCAGTTTGAACTAGGTGGCTTATTTCAAGCCACCTTGAGATGACCTTACCTAGTAACTAGACCTGGCGTGCCACCGTGTTTAACTTTTCTAAGCCTGACTTTAATCGCTGCCGGGGTGGAGGGGGGGGGGGTCTGGCGTTGGCCTCATGTAAAAAAAATGTCCAATCAGCATTCAATTACGTGTGCTTTGAGCGAGTGTACGAAACTCGTTTCCTGTTTACGGTTAATAAATCTACAAATTCTTCCGTCTGGCTAATTCCGTTAGTCTTAACGCTCGGCAAGGATAGTTCAGGCTCAATGTTGAGCCAGGTTTAACGTAAGCCTGGCTTATCTCCAAATTTGAACGTAGCCTTAATTAATAATCCAACATGGGGTGGTTTATTAAAATATGATTTTGTTGGTTCACTTAATGTATATTGCTTGATTTAATAATACAACATTATTGACACTTTATCAGTTGCTTAATTTGATATAGAAATTTTATTTGAATATTGGCACATGATTGGTTAATTATTTGAATATTTCCACATAATTGGTTAATTATTTAAATTTTTGGCATGTGATTGGTAAATTATTTGAATACTGGCTCATGATTGGTTGATTATTTAAAATTTTGGGACATAATTAAATGCTTAATTTGATTTTGAAACATTTGAATTTTGTTGCTTAGTTAATGATTTGAATATTGACACATGATTGGTTAATTATTAGAATACTGGCACATGATTGGTTGATTATTTGAATATTGGCACATGATTGGTTACTATTTTGATTTTGAAACATTTCAATTTTGTTGCTTAGTTAATAATTTGAATATTGACACATGATTGGTTAGTTATTAGAATACTGGCACATGATTGGTTAATTATTAGAATACTGGCATGTAATTGGTTGATTATTTGAATATTGGCACAGGATTGGATGCTATTTTGATTTTGAAACGTTTGAGTATTTTTGTTGCTTATAGTTAATTATTTGAATATTGACATATGATTGGTTAATTATTTTGAGAATTAATTTATGATTGGTCTGCTTTGTAACAATAGTGAGAATTCATTGGAAGATGACGAATACAAAGGGCGTAATTACTACACTAGCGCTCATACAGTCACTGAGAAGGTAGTTTCACAGCCAGAAATGATGGTCAATGGAACACTGAAGGAATACCAGGTAATATACTTACAAGGTTGCAAATGATATATATAATATTTCTATCAATCTTTATCTTCCATCATAAAAAGATTGCAAATTAATATGGAGGATGCGTAACTAAGGCACAGGGTGACAGAGTGTTGTACTACCTTAACAAAAATAGACATAATGATTTTATTTATATAATATTAATATTATACATTTATATTTATGCGAATCAATCATACATACTACATAGTTTGTTTGGTCCTTTATATCTAAAAAGTGTATGTTAGTTTGGTGCTAATATTTGAAATAATACAATACAATACAATATAATATACAATATAACTAATTAATACCAATATTATTTGCTATTAGATCAAGGGCTTGGAGTGGATGGTATCTCTGTACAACAACAACCTAAATGGTATATTGGCCGATGAGATGGGCTTAGGAAAGACCATCCAGACAATTGCTTTGGTTTGCCATCTTATTGAGAAGAAGCGAGTCAGTGGACCATTCTTGATCATCGTACCACTGTCGTAAGTTTCACCTACTAAAAAAAAATCCTAATATTCAACATAGTATAATTATATTCTTATCGTTTTTAATTCTAGATGTTTAGTATTTGCCAGGAAATGTTAATTTTTCTCCCAATAAGTTTTTGGATGGGTAAAATTATAATGTTGATTTTTTTTTTCTATAGTACCTTGTCAAATTGGAGTATGGAGTTTGATAAGTGGGCCCCAACCTGTGTCAAGGTCGTGTACAAGGGTTCGCCAACCGTGCGCCGTCTTCTCGGACAGCAGCTACGAACAACCAAATTCAACGCCCTTTTAACTACGTACGAATATGTAATGAAGGACCGTTCAGTCCTAGCTAAGGTGAGGTTGAATTAGTATTTTATTTTATTATGTTCAATTTTCAGATAATTTTACATAAGATATATCTCAACATCTCTTGAGTCCAGTTCAAACTATCACAATAAACACATGACTTGCCTAAATATAGTAATTTTTTTTTTAGATTCGTTGGAAGTATATGATTGTTGATGAAGGCCACAGGATGAAGAATCATCATTGTAAACTAACTCAGGTGCTAAATACTCATTATATTGCTCCTCATCGTATATTGCTCACTGGAACACCCCTACAGGTAAGTGGAATAATCCAATTTATAATCATTTTGAAATATTTATGTGATTTTATCAAGAATTATTTTAATAGTTACCAGTCTTCTCAAAGGAGCATGCCTCTATTATTGAATAAATTTTTTTGGAAAATATCAAATCACATAAAAAACAAAAACAAGATAATGTATTAAATGCTTGCGGTACACCACATAGATAGTTCTGAAAAGAACTCTTGCTTTTGTTTAGAGTGTCTGAATGTTCTGATTGAGTTGCCTTTATCATCATCAGAATGAGAATAATACCTGCAGAGAGTCCAAACGGAAAAACTTATATGATTGGAAGATTTTTTTATAGGCCTCAGGTTTTTGATTGATTTTTACAAGTTATGATTGATAAAATGAAAGATTGGCAAGAGAATTTATGTATGCTTTTTTTGTGAACTTTTTTTTTTTTTTTTTGGTTATGTTTACTTTATATTGTATATTGTATATTTTTTTGCTTGATTACAATGGTCAACATCAAACATACTTTTAGTTATGACCCTTGTAATACATATGTCGTTTTTCTCTCCATGCAGAATAAACTGCCAGAATTGTGGGCTCTCTTGAACTTCCTACTGCCAAGCATCTTCAAGTCTTGCAGTACATTTGATCAGTGGTTCAATGCACCGTTTGCTATGACTGGTGAAAAGGTAAGGTATTTAACATAATTAATAACCTGGAAGTTTCTTAGTTCCTCCAGTAAAAAATCCTGCATTGTGCATAAGCCCTCATTCTGATTTATGCCCAATTTTACTTACCACCACTTTTTCAGGCAAAAGCCCTGGGTACGATTTGAATCGGTAGATTAGCTGACTCTCAGAAGAATTAAGTCTTGGAAGAGATCAACTCAAATTGCCTTTTCATTGGTCATCCCTGAACATTTCAGAACATGCTGTTGGTTTAAAGATTGTCACTTTTTCGTAAAAAGGGAATTTTACCGGTTATTATAAAGCCTATCTCCCAAATTGGCCCATTTTTGTGTTTGAGGGTGATCTGCTTATACCAGAGGAACTCATTACTCCATATGAGGCTTGCCATACAAAAACCACCATTAGTGCACCTTTTTGTGGTGGGAACACAAAAGGGCAGTCTATCCCTATGACAATAATTGGCAGATGTGTCATCCTTAATTGGTGCTTCATCTAACCCTTGGTTAGAGATAACTGGAGTGTTAAAATTCTGTGAAAACTGAGGGATATAAAGTACTTATGTTTTTTTTGGGGCAGATTCTAAAATTTTGTTTTCTTTATCAAAGGTTGAACTGAATGAAGAAGAGACCATTCTGATTATCCGCCGTCTTCACAAGGTGCTTCGTCCGTTCTTGCTACGTCGTTTGAAGAAAGAGGTGGAGAACCAATTGCCAGAGAAGGTAAGCATTTCTTGGTATGGATGGGTTCATTCCTTGTGAACACCAAGGATAACCTACAACAGCCTGAAGAAGACTTATTTCCAGTGGGGTCCTTCTGGTGGTGATTGAGCAGTACACCGAGAGACAATCCCCTACTCTTTTCCGAAGAGTGTACTGCGTTTTTGACGTGCCCATGGGCCATTTTTAGCACACAGGACCAACAGCTTAAATGCCTCATCCGAAAAACGGTGCGCTTTTGTAACTTGCATTTCAGCCCTCCAGTTGAAACACGAGCAGTGATGGGAATTGAACCAGCGTACACACAGTGTCTACGTGGCTACCACTAGTTTAACCGACTGAGCCAGCTGATCTCACTCTAAAGACGTAATTGTTTATAATGCACTGCAAAGTGATGTGTGCTACCGATTGTTTTAAAAGTACAAAACTTGCTATTTTCGAAAATTCCTTTCCAGACTCACATTTTATTTGACAATGTGAAATTCCTAAATATGGTCATGATGACATCACATCATGTCTATGTATCGGCATACAAAAGTTTTTTTGTTGAGCTGGTGATTTTCAACTTGATATAAATAATGCTTTATTTTTTATTAATTTGAATATTTACTGTAATATTATTTTTTCTATTACTCAAGACATTGTGATCATTTATTGATTTTTTTTTTTTTTTTTTCAATTTGGAATATTAAATGAGTTTAAAATGTTTGTGTTTAGGTTGAGTACATTATCAAGTGTGATATGTCTGCATTGCAACGTCTTCTGTACCGCCACATGCAGGCTAAGGGTGTGCTACTAACTGACGGATCAGAGAAAGGAAAACATGTAAGTTGTAAATTTTGAGTGGAGCTGTACCATGGTGGTTTAAATGCATGCTTTCCAATCCAAACAACACATAATTGTATGTGTTTTCAAACAATTTAGAATGTACAGGATAGGTAAACTTTGCCTAATTTGCTGACTGTGCTCGATAAATTTTATTCTCTCATCCCTGTAAACTTGTATTTATGTATAATTTGTTATTACTAATTTATGTTCTTTTACTTTTACAATAGTTGTAAATATATTTTTATATGTTTTTAAAAAAAGTTGATGAAAAAAAGGGTGGTCTTGTTGAACCACATGAAATGGAAAAAAAAAAAAAAATAATAATAATCTTGCATTTATATAATGCATATTGTGCACAGCGCTTCTTTGTGCTTTTCACCAAATTTTAAAATAAAACCTTGAAATTAATGTAAGGTGTTGCTGGCACACAGTACTAGCTCTCAAGTAATCAGTCATCCTCCTTTCCGCTGGCACAATCTTGGACCCCCCCCCTCCTATCTAGTGAAACAATGAAAGGAGCAGGCCTCACATTTGCCTTTCCACAGACTACCGGGTGCTTGAGAGTCCGCACCCAATATGGTGGCTTAAAGGGACAGAGCAGACCCCCATCTACATATCTAAAAAAATGACACAAGAAATTATAATAATTAAACAACAAATGGGTTTCTTAGAGTAAACAAAATACACAAATATGTCATTCCAATGATGTTTAACTTAACTCATTGTCATTTTGTTTCTTTTTTTTTTGATAATTATGTTGTTTATTTATATATTTGTTGTTTAATGGTTGATGTTTTTGCTCTGTAGGGTAAAGGTGGCACCAAACTTCTAATGAACACGATTATGCAGCTGCGAAAGATCTGCAACCATCCATTTATGTTCCAGCAAATAGAGGTAATTAACTACAGATTATCGTTAACCGAAATAACGATTAATTGCTTGACCAAGAGCTGTTGGCCTCTTTCAACTCTTGCTAAACCTCTTTGCTTTTTAATGCTTAGTGTTATCCTGCCAATTTATTTATTATTAATTGTAAATACCTGATTAAGTAATAGTTGTTGATTTTCCTTTTAAAATGACAGGCTAACTTTATTACGTAATAAAAATATACTTTCTGGTGTTAAATGATAAGCAAATTTATTAGGGAGATAAGAATTGATTTTCCTTTAAAATTATTAGAAAAATTAAAAGAGAATAGGGTTTAATTTTTGTTTAAATTGCAATCAAATATACTATGGAAATGGGTTTGAATTTCCGTTGAAGGATAAGCAGAGTCACTGGGGGATAAAAGTAGATTTTCATCTAAATGATAGGCCAAATTCAGGAAATATGAGTGGATATTCTTTCAGAAGATAAGCTAAATCAATAAGCAAATTTATCAGGGAATAGGAGCTCATTTTCTTGTAAATTATTTGCAAACTTATTTATAAGGGAAAAGAAGATTATTTTCTTTATGATATGCAAAATCATTAAAAAATGTAAAGTACTAATTCAGATTACTTTTTCAGTATATGAAATTGATTTAAGATTATCTGGGTTAGGTCATCGATGCAAGAACCTACATAATTAAGCCTTTTTATTATCATAGGTTGAAGTTGGAAGAGAAAAAATAATGTCTTCAACCCAAACTGGCAAAAATTAACTTGAGATAGGCAAAATCACGAAGGAATATTTTTGCTTTAATTGATAAAAGTCCTATTTGGAAATAGAAATTAAATGTATTTTTAAATGGCATGATTCAGGAAAAGGATTTTATATTTATTGATAATGATTTATAAGTGAATACCAGTTGATTGTGTGAATAATAAAATAAATACTTAGGCAAGTCAAATGGCCTGAACGGTTGATGCAAGGGCACTGCATCGTACAGCCACAGCCATAATATCAGTGTTGGTTTGATGGGCATGCCTGCCTATGACTCTGATGTTGGAAAAAGCTTTTTTCGGATAAGGCCTATAAACCGTAGGCCCAGTGTAAAACTGGCTTATGCGCACTAAAAAGAACCCAGTACATTTTTTGAGATGAGTAGGGGGTTACCCAGGTATACTGGTCCATACAGCCCCTGTTGTGGACAGGCAAGAGTACCTGGTACTGGTTTGCTTTGTAGTTCAGACATGAAATGAGGCCTAGGGGAGAAGGAATATACTGTATGAGCCAGTGCACACCTCAAGCTCTTTGAGACTTCAGTATTTTTATCCATACACGACTTCATACTCTGTCGAGCTATTTTGGTTTAGTTCTTAAGCTCAACAATACGATTTTCGTGTATAGTGGTGAAAGAATTGGTAAGAACAGGGCGGCGACGAGACTTCAGTATAAAAACGTAACTATATTATATTTAACTAAAACCTATTAAATTTTTATCTTGTAGGAATCGTACTGTGAACACATTGGCCTGTCTGGTAGCATGATCCAGGGCCCCGATTTGTATCGCGTTGCCGGTAAGTTTGAGCTCCTCGATAGAATCCTGCCGAAACTGAAACGAACCAAGCATAGAGTGTTGCTGTTTTGTCAGATGACGAATCTTATGACCATACTGGAGGATTACTTTGCATACAGAGGTATATATTATTTTTACTTATATGATTTATACAGTGCACATATTCATAAAACGCTTTTTTTCCTGGTAGTTGGACACCATCACACATCGTTCAACCTCTTCTGCTCCCTATCAACATAAAGCTATAACTCTGTGCAATTCAGCACAAAGACACTACAAATTATAGGTTATACTCCAATCTGCCCCTTTATATTTTCCTCTATAATATAATTTTTTTTTATATCAGGTTTCAGATACTTGCGTCTGGATGGCTCGACCAAGGCTGATGATCGTGGGGAATTGTTGAAGGTGTTTAACATGTCGGACAGCCCGTACTTTGTCTTCCTCTTGAGTACCAGAGCCGGAGGCCTAGGCCTGAATCTTCAGGCTGCTGATACTGTCATCATATTTGACAGTGATTGGAATCCACATCAGGTACAAAAATTACGATCCCAGTGGGAGCATGTGTCTGCTACTGTTCATGTGTTTTTAGTTTTTTTTTTGGCTACTGTAGTGACTTTTTAGTGAACTATCTATGACCAGTCTTATTTAGCTTTCTCTGTTGTTGAAAATTCAGTTGATAACTTACTGTAGGACATATCTTATCTAGTATGGTATCGTCATATTTTGTAGACTTGCTTTTCATTTTTATCTTTAGCTCAAAATAATAAAAATAAATTTGGCTCCTTTGAAATTGAGGGGTTGATATTGTATGCAAATTTTATGCCGATTAATTATGCAAATTAGCCCTAATTTTTGGGATAACACTGAGATGTACACAGATACTCTTCCCTTCTTATTTTTAGCAAGTTGATCGACCGTACCTTCTCCCTGCCAAAAATGTATGTAGGAATTAACCTGTTGCATAAAAGCATTGTGTTTTTAAATGCGCGGTCGTTCCAAGGCAGAACAACGCAAGTGCACAAATATATAATAGTAATTACGTTGTTTCAATTCAATTCAATTCAATATAACCTTTATTCATCCACACAAATTCAAAAGTATAATTTTTATCATTCAAAGTAGAATTACAACGTGGACAAGGGACAGTTATAAAGCAGAAGGCTTGTCTAAACTGCCCCTTAACAAAGACATGTACACGTGAAAAAAATAAAATAAAATAAAGAGGAAAACATAATAAAAGTGCTGTGGGACGGCCGCGCGTTGTGATTGCTATGGCTTGCTGCGGCTACATGCTACAACTTTTTTTGGTTTTAGGATTTGCAAGCTCAAGATCGTGCTCATCGTATCGGGCAACAGAATGAAGTACGTGTTTTGAGACTGATGACCGTGCAGAGTGTGGAGGAGAAGATCTTGGCAGCCGCACAGTACAAGATGAACATGGACAAGAAGGTTATTCAGGCAGGAATGTTTGACCAGAAATCAACCAACTCCGAACGTAAGGCTTATCTTGCACGAATCATCGAACAAAATGCCGATAATGCTGAGGTAATTTATTGATATTTTAGGGTGATTAATGGTAAACATTTAACCATCTTCGAGAAAAAACTTTTTGTTTTTCAAAATTTTACCATCTTAATGTAGTGTTTTGAAAAGCCCTCCATTCTCCCCACCCCCCATCCCCACAACATCCAATTCATATAAAAATCTCTTATCCAAACTACAAATAAGGTAATAATAAAATACAGCAAATGGAAATCATCAAAATAGAGAAAAAAATGATTAATATAAAAATTAACATTAACCCTTTCACTGCGTGTACCCGGTAATACCGGGTATAAACACATACTGTTGAATTGCGCGTACCCGGTACTACCGGGTATGTAGAAAAAATATTGTTAAAAATCAGGAAGAGGTTCTGCGCCCTCTATAGTTTTTTTCTATGAACTATAATTAACCTTTTATCAGAAAAAAAGTGTTTTCGAGTGGTTAGGCGCAAAATGGCGGGTGCACGGCCTCAAAACAGACGGTACAATGTTGACGAAGCTATGGACCAGATCTTTGCAGATACGGATAGTGAAGATAACTTTGAATTGGATGATTCTTGCATTTCTTTTCCCCCAGTCGACTATGGTAGTGACGACAGTGATTCTAAGGACGAAAACTATGATTCTCTCAACTTGGGAGGCCCTGCACAGGGTCAAGGTGGCAATGCCTTGTCCGCAGATTTCCTTTCCACATTTCCCACAATAGAACAGGCTAATTTTTAAAATAAATACAATACATTTTATAATAAAGTAACCGTATGATGTTTGCAACTGTCTCTTATACACATCTAGATGTGTATAAGAGACAGCCATTCTCCCCACCCCCCATCCCCACAACATCCAATTCATATAAAAATCTCTTATGCAAACTACAAATAAGGTAATAATAAAATACAGCAAATGGAAATCATCAAAATAGAGAAAAAAATGATTAATATAAAAATTAACATTAAGTAATTATAAAGTACTATTATTATTATTGGAATTGTTCTTATTACTATTACATTTATTATAATTACCGTTATTACTATTGATGTCAGGAAAGCTTAAATAATGTGTGTTGATTAAACAGAAATTTATATACTGTATTACTACATTTCTCCCTTCAAGACCACTTTTAGGACTGGGGATTCTATGTGGTCTTCATCAGCTTTGGTCTCTCATTAGAATAATAAAGATAAAAGAAATTTGTCTTTAATTGGAGGTGGTCCTTAATTAGAGGGGTCTTTATTTGTAGTTAGACCTGTATATTCAAAGAACAACATTGAAATTGTATTACCTTTGAAATTCGTAGTAAATAAAATATGATTAAATATGCGGGACGCTAATAGCGTGACATTTAATTGCAACTTTAATATTTACGACCTTCTTTAGGAGGAGAACGAGATTCCTGACGATGAAACTGTCAACCAGATGATAGCGCGTACCGAGGAGGACTTTGAGATTTATCAGCGGATGGACATTGAGAGACGGCGGGAAGAGGCAATGGCTCCAGGACGGAAGCCTCGTCTCATGGAGGAGGAAGAACTGCCTTCGTGGCTGATGAAAGATGAGAAGGAAGTAGAGAGGTTGACAAGTGAGGAGGAAACAGAGAAACTCTTTGGAAGGGGCTCAAGGCAGCGTAAGGATATCGATTACTCGGACGGCCTCACCGAGAAGGAGTGGATTAGAGTAAGTGTCAAGTCTTTTTTTTATATACTTTCGCTTTTGGTTTTGCGTGATTCTTGCAATGTCAATTTCAAGTATATCTCAAGATTTATTTCTTATTAAAGCGGAACTATGTTGTCAACTATTAATATTATGAATTTTGAAAAACATATATTTTTCTTTTTTCAGTTTTCCACAAATTTTAATAAAAATTGTCCTCTTTGGTACATCATATATCTAGCTGTTTGCAGTTGTTTTTATATTTAATTTTCTTAAGTTCATTTTGTTTTAAATATTTATTCATTCATTCAATTATTTATTTATTTATTTTGTTTATTGAACATATCCAATTGAACTTGCCTAAGTCGAATCCAAAATGGCATTGAAAAGTTGTTCGACTTAAACACAACAATTTGGCATGTAAAATAAGATCGAGTTGGAAATTGTTTGAGTTAGGCAGAGTCGACTTAAAGGCAAATTTAACTGTATTTCATATTTAACAGGGAATAACTCTCCAGTTTTGGGAAAGAATAATGCTTTTGTTTTTTTATAGTTTTCCTATTAGCTAAGTTGTCAATACGCTCAACATGTTGACTGCCAAGCCTTTTTGCCTAGTTTCAACCCACACACAAAAGCATAAAGGACACCACCATAATGAAAGTCATTCCCATCAACTGTAGTGAAACACGAACAAATGTACAGTAGTTATTTTTAGATAATTTCTTCCGGGTTCTCCCCTGAACCTCGAGAGCGAGAGTTTGTGTTCTAGTGACCACTACCAGTGAGTTAGTGTGCCATTACAATAATGTTATGTTGGACAGGTGAACCTTGGCGGCCTAAGTGAACCCCGTAGGACGCAAACTTGCGTCCCTTGCCGTGAATGTGTTAAAAGATGTTAACTTGGTACCCATTGATTAAAATGTATGAATTTATTGATAGAATTTGTAATTCTAATGTTAAATTACTTTGTTAATGTATTTTTTTTAATATTAGCAAATTTGTCTGGTACTGATGTAATTATTTTCTTGCCTCGTCTGTAATCCAGACATTGACTTGGAATTGTATTTTTCTTCTCTCTTTTGTACATTTTATGGTTTTCATAAAAACTGAGAATAACATATTATCTTGTTCTGTTGTGTATAAAATGAAGTTCAAACTTTAACTATAGTGACTATAAATATTTGGTAATAATTAAATTATTGTATACATAGGCCATTGAAGACGGCAATCTCGATGTAGTAGGAGAATCGAAGCGTTCCACTAAGAAAGCATCTAGGAAACGTAAACTTGACGATGATGACAACAATGGCTCCAGGGACGGAAGTCCCATTGGATCCAAAAAGGACAAAGACAAGCCCAAGAAGAAACGAGGTCGTCCTCCAGTCGAAAAACTTTCTCCAAACCCACCGAAACTAGTGAAGCAAATGAAGAAACTAGTTGCATCCTTGGCGAGATACAAAGATGGGTAAGTTTAATGTTAATATAAGTAAATATATACCAAAGAGAGTATCTTAGCTCAGGGGGCTAAACGGTGGTAGCCATGCCGTGTGCACAAAAAATGTGGCGATCTCTAGATTCCTGGTTCAAATCACGTCTCTGCTCTCCTTGTGTTTTAGAGCCCTGAAATGCACGTTATGATAGCCCACCGTCTTTCGGATGAGACATTTAAGCCATTGGTCCCGTGTACATGGCCCATGTACATGTTAAAGAATGCAGTACACTCTTTGGAAAAGAATAGGGGATTGTCTCCCGGTGTACTGCCCAATCACCACCAGAAGGACCCCACTGGATATAAATCTTCTACAAACTTTAATGGGTTATCCTTGGTGTTTATGCTGAAATAATCCAACCATTCACCTTATATTGCATTAGTGTGAACTAAGTCACTTTATGAGGCTGGAATTTTTTTTAGTTGTGAGAAAAAACCCTGCAATGACAGTGTTTGAACCCAGGACGCTAGGATTGGAATACATCTTGACCACAAAGCTGTTCAACTCAACTTCACCTTTTTATACCTTGTTAGCAAAACAAGGTATAAAAACGTCTTGCCTAAAAATAAATCAAATAGTAAATTGATGTTCTGGACCTATCATATCCTTTAGTGTGAGTCATGTATCATAAATTCCACTATTATGTGTAGCAAAAAAAGGCTCTACAGTGTAAACAAGCATTCTCCAAATGTCATTACAAAGGTGAACGTCAAAACATAAATAAAGATAACGTAAATGCCCATCATAAATAAGAACTTAACGCAATTTAATATAAATAATGCTTAAACTAAGTGGAGTACGTTGACTACTGATAAAAAAAAAAACTGGTTGAATAATGTGATCATGAAGACTGCAAATGACGTACACTTTAAGCATGCAAACAGCGATGTTGATTAAAATTTCCAGTTTAGCTACTGGGCATTGTTTAACTTAACAAATACCTGTCGAATATTCATGTATGTAATTGAAGTTTTAATAGATATCTTTGTTGCGAAGTTTCCAATAATGATCATTATACTGATGAAGCGTTTATTTTTGTTTTTTTTTACACTAAAAGTGAAGTGCGTTTTTGTGCCGAAAAGCACTCTGAACTTTTGTTAATGGCAAAAGCTAATCTACTGTACATAAGTAATTAACGCCTATAACCATGCCGAGGTGTTAAATTAGGTAGCACTATTACTTGCATTAGTGAAAACATTAGAATGCCCCCAGCATTCTCATTGATTTTAATATTTGTGATGGAAATAATTACACTGAGATGATTATTATGGACAGAATATATGCAACATCATTAATAGTTATTGTTGTTTGCGTCATGCATATCAGATCATTACTCAATTTCTTTTAAAGCAAGCCATGTATACACTGCAGCGATTATAGTTATGGGGCTTGCCATACTAAAATCAGTAACAACATCACAAAATTTACTTTTTAATGAATTCATATTCTTCACATTATAAGCTTTAAAATGATAAGTCATTTACCGGAATCGTCTTACCATTGCCACAGCTATGAGTAAAAGTATTATGATTTCTGTGCAATGAAGCATACATTACAGCAACATTCTTATACTAATTACTCAGTTAATCAATTAGTGACAGTACACTGGTTTTTGAAAGGCAAGCCTCAAATATAAATCTTTACCTTGGTATGAAGACAGGCATAATAATAAATTTTTAAGCAAAATGTATAGCTTTCAACAGGATTTCAAACCAAAACCTGATAACCGTTTGGATGCACTGTGTAAGTCCTGTTTTATAATATGCAATAAATAAACACTGTAACTTTCTACTAATTTTGTCAACATCAAGGAAAACTTAATATTTAATAGTTTTTACAACATCAAATGGTTTTCCCTGCACTTTGCAAAGAAAACTTCAAATCGCATTGTCAACAGATGTACAGTTAGTGTATCTAATGGTGCACCCCACCTCCAAAAACAAAAGGCTGCCCTACCCCCTTTCCCCCCTTTTTTAAAATGTTCGAAGCAAAAGAACCATTCTCAGGTAGTTAAAAATCACGTCATAACACCTTCTTTTGTGAGCTAGTGACCCCTCACTAAATCATGGAGCTCCTACTTTACCTTCTCACCCCCTTAACCCCTCCTTCCCCCTTTTCCAGACTCATAGGTATTCCTCTGCAGATGTATAAAGTATTAATTTTTTTTTCTCAGTACTGGGAGACCACTTTCTCATCCATTCCTCACCCTACCCCCAAGAAAGGAGCTTCCCGATTACTACGAGGCTATCAAACGGCCTATGGACTTCCGCAAGATTCGAGACCGCATTAAAAACCATCGATACAGAAACCTGGATGATCTTGAGAAGGACGTGATGTTGATGTTTGAGAACGCACAGATTTACAACGTGGAAGCATCACAGGTGAGTGTAAGCCTACTCAATTTTCAGAAGGCTTTTGTTGGTTAAATGTGCACTGTGGGCTAGTAAGGAGGCTGAGGAATAAGGCAGAGGGGCGTGTTAATTACAGCCTTAACATTGGCGTTTCTATTTCAAGGTCTTCCTTGTCTAGGGTTTGGTTGGTGGAACCAAGTCTTCTAGGATTATGACTTGAATATTGAAGGTCCAGTGTAAACAGCTGACTTGTGTGCATTTTAGAAAAACCCATTCCATCTCTGGAAGAATAGGGGCTTACCCATATAATCTCATTTTCTAAACCATAATTTGATTACTCTACAGTTAGTGATTATTATATATCTGATTGGTTAAACAGCAGGTAATAACTTTAACCATCACTCTTATCTAGTAGTTTGAATGACGGTTATAATTTCCCGGAAAAAAATGATAGTGCTTTTTTCCCTATCATGATGTAATCTCTAGGCGGAACGTTTTTTAAAGTGGGGGCCCACTATTAAGATGATCTGGGTTCAGATTTAGAGGGTTGGAGGTCAACATTTTTCCCCAAAAACCTCAAAAAGGAAATGAGCTTTCCCGACTTCTGCGGTGTCTTATTGACTTTTAAGTTAAAAATTCAAGCTTTTCCCCTTTTGAAAACGATTATGTGAATCAATGAACCCACAAAGGAAGTGGGAGGGGGTTCAGGACTCCTGACTCCCCCCGCACAGATCCACCAATGTGAATTGGGACATCCAGGGCTGTTAAGGGGATAGTTTTTTGGGGTCCTGGAGTTGTCCTCTTATGTAATAGAGGTACTACTTTATTTAAATGGCAAACTACTACAGTAATCCGCATGGCATTAAGGTGGTTCAACTAATGCATTGTTATGGTGACTTCATGTACATTAAGTATAGTTAATCATTGAAAGTAAATTGCTCTGATTAATATAAAGCTAATGCCCTTCGAAAACATGCCCTTTGGAATTCTTAGAAATCATGAAGAGTTAAAGTTCCTGCCATTTAACAGCACTGTTTGTGCCAGCCTAGGGAGCTTAAACCACATTTTATAAAAGGATTTGTTTTATCTGCTGAAAGTAAGATCAATTCTAATCTCATAAGAAGTACTTGAAGAGGTTCTGAAAAGGTTTGCATTACAACTTGACTACACACGGCTACAAAAGTCAAAGAGGGCCATGCGAAATGCATTAGCAGATTTTTACATTATTCAAATTTATGTGAGCTGGTTTTAAAATCAATCTTCAACTGTTTAAAACTGCTATAGTTTGTTACATAGTGAATATAATAGAATTGCAGATTTAATGATAAATAAATCATTGAAATATATGTGTTTGAATTTTAATCACATCATCAATACGATTCCTTGTATACTGCCATGTTTGTATGGTATAGAAGAAAATTTATAGGGTATCTAGATAGAAACATTATTTCAGAATAATTGGCAGATGGCTTTGAGTTTCGTACTGCCTATATGGTTACGCTTACAGTACAACCAAACCTACTTTATATAAATCAAATATTTAAACAAAACAAGCAAAATAAACAACAACAACAAAATTTAAATAAATATAGTAATGGATTAAGAGTCAACAAAAAATTATAATCACTGCCCTCAAATTAAATTGAATTTTGGGACTGAGGTTTCTTTGGTCTTTACCAGCTTTGGTCTCTAATTAGAATAAAGGTACATTAATATGGGACCATATAAAGTGGCTTTTAATTTGAGTTGATCCTTAATTGGAGGGTTCTTGAATTGGAGTGAGACCTGTTAGTACACAGTAAAGGAAAGTTTTAAACTAAAAGAAAAAAAATTAATAGCTTATTAAAAGAATCAAATAAGTGATTAATAATACACAGATCAAACCAATAATAATAATAATAATAATAATAATAATAATAATAATAATAATATATTTAATTTTTAAAAAATTGCAAAGAGTATTAGAATATTTGTTCACAGAGGTTAAAGTGTTAGCTTTGTGTTAAAAGATTAAAGATTGTTCTTTGGTTCTTTGGAAAGATTTTCCCAAATTAACTGGGAGGCTGCACTTGAATGCTAAATTTAATTTTTAATTTTTTTAATTTTGTTTCTGTTTTTTTTTTTTTTTTAACTCATCACAGTTAGTATCTTTAATAAGTGAAAAATATGCTTTTGAAAGGAGCATGAGTATTTTGCAAAAACAAGGTTAAAGTTACATTCTAGTTCATTATTGGACAAGGTCATTATTTGATCAGGTCATCTGGCAAAACATATGACCAATTACCAACTCCCTAATAAAACAACATTCACTTCTACTTGGCATGCCTGCCAATTAATATGAACTGAAATGAACCTTAAAACACATTCCATTTTACAGAAAAATTCCACTATTACAGTATAGATTATATCTGTGCAAATGCAAAATACTAAAAAAAAAATGAGGTTACATAACTTTCATGTCTAAAATCTTATTACCAATTATTGAATATGACATGAATAAAGTCATAGGATCCACTGATAATTATGACATACAATGATATGAGACAAGCTTTGAAAAGAAATATACAAGCAATGGCGATTTAATATTTTGATGTTTTTCGCAACGAGGATGGAGGAATAAATTATAAGATATTGCATCACACTCTTTGGAGTTTGTCTAAGCTTAGTTCATACGGTAAAATTTGATGTGACACATTTGTTTGATGTGCCCATATATGGGCATTGTGATGTCATATCATACTCAAATATAGTTGTATCACATTTATTTGTCACATAAAATTTGAACGTATGGACAGTTTTATACTATATGTAGCGAAGACAAGCCAAACCAGTCATTCGTCGCAAATCATGTTTCAGAGATAATGGCCAAAACATGCTGGAATGTCAACATTTTTTTAATCTACTTTATTGCACTAAACTATACATCATGCTATGTTGTTTTTTTTTGTCCATTTTCAATGTTAAAACAATTATTTGGTGATGGTTTCTGCCTGAGAAATGCCCAAAATTGAAGGCTGTTTTCTCAAGTAATTTCTTTAAACAGTTGTATGTTTTAATTTCTGTAAATTCATAAAGGAAATGTCGGATTTAAAATGATTCTTTTACCATTTTAAAGCTTTTATAGCATTTTACTGTTTAACCCTGTATTAATAGCTAAAATTTGATTTCTTGCGGTGAGTGACTGGTATGGCTTGTCTTTGCCACATATTTAAAACTGATTCTTTTATATATTTATATTAACAATTAATTTTATTTGTGTCACCCGTAGATATATGAGGATTCCTTCGTCCTTCAATCTGTATTCAAGAGTGCGCGCCAGTGCTTGGAGGAAACCGGTAAGCTCCCCGGAGAGGTGAGCGATACAGAGGCGGAAGATGATGACGACGAGGAAGACGGCTCTCAAGGAGGATCGGACTCGGAAAGTAAGATGTTTGAACATTCAAATAGATGAAGTTCTAAATGTATTTATAATGGTTTTTAATGGTTTTGATTTGATTGTTTTGATAAATGACATTAACACTTTCAACATCAATGTAAAAGCTTAAAATGTTTCAGTAAATACAATGATTTTTTTTTTTTTTTCGGTGTTCATCCTGGGTGTCCATCTGTGTTATCATCCCTGAGTGCTCTTCCCGGGTGTTCATCGCAGGGTAATTATTCCTGGGTGTTCGTTCTGGGTGTTCATCCTGTTTGTTCATTCCAGGTATTTATCCCTAGGTATTCATTCCAGGTGTTCATCCCAAGGGTTTCATCCTAAGGCATTTATTCCGTGGGTGTTCATGCTGGGTGTTCTTCCCAAGTAATTTTCTCTGGGTGTTCATCCCAAATGTTCATCCCTGTGTGTTCATTCTGGGTGTTCATTCTAAGCATTCATTTCTGGGTGTTCATCCTGGGTGTCTATCTGTGTTATCATCCCGGGTGTTCATCTCAGGGTGTTTATTCATGGGTGTTCATCCTTGTTGTTCATTCCAGGAATTTATCCCTGGGTGTTCATTCCAGGTGTTCATCCCAAGGGTTTCATCCTAAGGCATTCATCACTGGGGTGTTCATGGTGGGTGTTCTTCCCCAGTGATTTTCTCTGGATGCTCATCCCAAATGTTCATCCCTGTGTGTTCATTCTAGGCATTCATTTCTGGGTGTTCATTTCAGGCATTCATTTCTGTGTGTTTATTCCAGGTATTCATTCCAGGTATTCATTCCGGGTGTTCATCCTGGGTGTTTATCCCTGGGTGTCCATCCTAGGTGTTAAACCTGGGCATTCATCTGGGATGAACAATTATTGTTTATCCCACAAGAAAATACATCTGAAGTGATATTTTGACAAAATTTGGGTTTCAATTTTTCTAATAAGTTTAATATGTGTATTTCTTAGTAACAAAAGTTCCGAGTTGAGTTACCTAAGATGATCATGTTTTTGAGGCACAGTTTGTAATGCTATTTTTCAAAATTGATAGGAAAACCAACTCAAAACTTACCAGTTGTTTATCTTTAGAGGCAATTTTCTCTTAAGTAGGTTTTAAGACATCTGAACTTTAAATTGATCTTACTCCAGTTTTACTCAACCTTGAAACATGATTTACAGACGAAAATAAAGCTGATATGTTCATCTGTCTAAATATATCAATAACTCATTTTTTTATTTTTCGTACCGCAAGACACATTTTGTCACGACAGCTGACAAGTTACTTTTCATTTTTCTTTTATGTTTAAGGAAATTCTCTGAAAGAAAAAAATAACCCAAGCAGGTTTTCTTCTTAATACTATCTGTCCTTTGATAACATTGTTATGTACATTTAAATGGACCAAAGTGCCCCCCCCCCCCAAGTTTTTTAAAATCATAAAAAAAATGGCAAATTTTAAAGGTACCATAATCATATTTTTTTTTTTTTTGGTCTACACCAAATTTGTTTACATTGTTCTTTTGCTTACTGTTTATTTTTCATAAATATACAAAGGAGTACTTTGGTACCATAGATAGATTTTATGTCTAACAGTCTGGCATTCTGGCTAAATTTAAGAAATTCATATTCTTAAATATTAAATACATTTAAAACAATTTTTTTTTCGTTATTGTCTATAATTGTGGCACTTAAATATCTTGACCCATATTTTTTGGGAACAATACATACTGGTATACAATATTTTTTCTGATAAATGTATTTTAAAGAATATTTTGCTTTTGGGGAAAATAATTACCCTACTCTTCCCATAAGGAATGTAAAAGTTGAGGTTGATACAGAAAAAATATTTATTAATGAACACTTATATATAGAACTTGTTAATCAAATGATTTGTTTATTATCAAACCTTTATTGTTGTTTGTTATTGTTTGTTGTTGTTTATTGATTTTATTTTTTGTCTGCTCATTTATAGGAACAATCTAGTGCCGAAAGTGAAGGTGAGAATGACGATACGCCATCCTCCTCACGACCTGTTTCACGCGGCGCATCACCGGCCCTAATACCGAAGAAGCGATAATGTTTTCGTCCTGTCATTATTGCTTTCTCATTGGAAAGAGAGATTTTTAAAAGACCCATCACTCACCATCATGTGTCACAATTGATGACATCATCATAGTTGTGTTGTATTACCCTAAATGTTTGGTGCAAAGGTCAGATCAAAAGATGTATTGACTTGAGTAGTAATGTAGAAAGAGGAGGTATCGAATTACGTACTTCAGCTTCCTTGCTGTTTTTCTAATCCAACTAATCACGTATCGATTTTTGCATATTTTCATGCCCGATGCTGTTGCAGATATTTGTCTAATGATCGTATGGCCTTTTTTTTCAATTACGCATAATTAACTTGGAGAGCATGAAACGTTGCTAATTTCTTTGAACATCTGTTCGTTAGCATTAGTTTATTTACATTTCAAATGTGGCTCAGTTTCATCGTTTCCAGTTTGCTGGAACAAATAGAAGATTGATTGACATATTATCTGAGCATCATATGTAATTGCCAAGACTATTTATTCTTCAGCGATTTTTGCACTTAAATTATATGTATATATTATATACATATTGGTGTGTATAAAAATACATAAAAAAATAATTTGTTGATAAGGCTTGCATATTATTATGAATTAACATATGGGTTTGTATATGTGATTATAACCCTTCCATTCATAGAAGCATATATGCAGATGCTAACATTTAAAAAAAAAAAAAAAAAAGTATTGTGTGTAAATACATGATTATTATAATAATAATATGTTAATGCATGTTTTCAAATATAGACCTACTGCTGAGAAACTTTTTCAGCTTTCTTTTATTGATGCTATAGTTACCTAGCCTCTGGAACGACGATACGATCAATCATGCTCTTATAATAGAGAAATTCAATCTTGATGAAATATATATCTTGCACAGATATGGATTGCATTGTTTAGCACCTGTTTGTGTGATGCAAGCTCTAATATTTCTTTGGCATTTTTTTTTTTTTAATTATAGATTTTTCTAACTGCGCTTAGTAGTGTATAAAGCTTCTTGTGTTTCATCGCTACTTTATTTCATTATTCAAATGTATTTCATTGAAAATCCAATTTATGTTCTTTTAATCATTTTAAGCGGAGAGTAGAAATGATATCCCATAATGCTTTGTGCATGAACGTTTATTAAGATGTTTTTAGTATTGTATTTTTTGTAGGGTTTGACAATGGCATTATATGCAATGTTTTTCTGGTTGTCGTTAAGGCTTACAGTCTTGGAAATAGATAGGCTAACATTTATTCCGTAATTATCGTAACCCAAATCACTAGTAAATTAAGTCCTTAGCGATAGCAAACGCCAGTAATCTATTTACTGGTTAAGGAACGAGAACAGCCTAACACATTAATCAGCCTAATAACTCTTGTTTTGTGATAACATGTAGCTCTGTCCCACATGTACATACCATCATTCTTTTTGGGCCCGTATTTATGCTTCTTCTTATATTTTTGCTGCTATGCTAATTGTTTTTATCCTGTGGTTGTCTGTGATATGAGACATAACTTATATAACTATAACTTATATAACTTATAACTTATATCTTAAAACTGTTTCATGTTCATATTTGGCCATGATGTGTGTATATAAAGTATGGTCATGATGTGTTGTCGTCATGACCATATTTAGGCATATCATGTTGAACAGGACTTTTGCTCACAACAACAATTGATGCTCGTAAGAGACGCATTGTAGCAGTCTTCAGTTTTCTACAAGTACAAACGCCTTTAAGGATCTCTCCATAATTAGCGCCATTTAATGCTAGGGTTCACATTTTCGATGTCGTGCATTACGTTTGTTTAGAAAATCATTACGTTATCGAAGATTAACAGATAACTAGCGGCCTGAAGTTATTTATAAAGCAACTCATTTAAATTAGTAAGACACATAGTCCTGTAAATGGCTGTGTCTGAAAAATTGATCAACGACAATAGCTTTGGATTATGTTTATTCTACATCAGATACAACGCATAATTTTTTACTGTATTGTTTACGTGTATCTCACATTCCTATTTCCATGTTATTGGTTTGATTAATATAATCTTTGAGATGCTTGCTTATTTGCTACTAATGATTTCACTTTCATTATTCGGTAGTTTAGTTTTCATGTTGTACTGTAAGAATTACAAGAAAATATATTGCTTCTAACAGCGTGGATTGCTTACACTCCATAAATTTAGTTTGTTGTTTTTTGAGGTACAATATATACTTGCTTCTGTAATACGTTTTTATGCTATTTGATATTCGCTATATTCTGTTATGTGTACCATTATTACAACTTGTAATTTGCAAGCAATTGAGTTGAAAAATAAGATTTCCTTTCTAGCATAGTATATGGGCAATATATTAAAAATGATAATTCCAAATATTTATGGCATAGTATAATATTTGTGATTTTTCATAAGTTATATATCTTACTGTATGCACCATAAATTATTGAGAAAATATAGGTCTATGGTGATTGATTGACTGTATCCCTGTATTACAGCCATAAACGTGTGATAGCGTCAAGGTTTATAAAATCCACAACTAATATCAGAAATTGTAAATATCTGTTTTTTTCATCCTATTTTTGGCATAGATTTAGATTAAGCTTTTGTGGGTGTATATCGCTTAGTATAAATGTAGATTTCCATAATATAGTGTTTCTAATACCACAGAGACAGTAAGAGATCAGTTCATTATTACCTCCTAATGAGAAAATGAGTAGCAAAAACTGCATGTAATTCCAACAAGAAAAATGAATAACCGTGCGAGATTTGTAGTAGTATTTGCTAAACTAATTTTGTTTCATAATATGTTGATATGGATTTGAACTGATACATATTTGGTACATTTCTTAATTAATTTGCCTTCTTTAAGATAATTCATTCTGATAAAACTACTGAATTAATTTCATCAAGTTTTTCATGTTAATTTTAAGTATACCGGTAAAATTTGAGAATTTCTTAATGAATTTCTGTCAGATTGTAATAGTGCAAGT